TGTGAGTTAACACGGAGGCTAGAAGCTCCTAATGCCAACCATCACACGAAGTAAAGACTTGTTATGTTTTATGCCTCATGTCCTAGCCAGGGTTGCTATTGCTGTGGTGAAACACCACAACCAAAGCCACTCCAGGAGGAGAGGATTTATTTAGCTTACACGTCCCTCACTGTTCATCGACGAAGGAAGTCAGGGCGGGCAAAAATTCAAGCCGAGCAGAACCCTGGAGGCAGGGGCGGACGCAAAAGTGTAGAGAGGTGCTGATTACTCTTGGCTTGCTCAGCCTGCTTTCTTACAACACCCAGGACCATCAGCCCGGGGTCGGCCCCACCCACAATGGGATAGGCCCTAAGCCATCAATCACTAATTAAGCAAAGGCCGGACAGGGTTGGCTACAGCTTCAATTGAGGCTCCCTACTCTCCAATGACCTGAGTGTCAAGCTGACGTAAAACTAGCTAGCACCCCCGTTATTTGAAGTAGTCTGTTTCCAAATGATCCAGGCTATTAGGAGCTGTACAAGCATATCTGGCCAAATGTAAATTTCAGGTTAAAAAAAAACCAATATTTATTCAGTATAAGCATGTCATATATAATATACAATATCATATATATTAATATATAATATTTCACTGGGCAGCCTGTCATGATCATTATCTTTGGTTTTATCAGCCAGGGCTGACGGCCCTCCCTATAAACATGATTGTGGTATGGGTTTATCAAGGGCTGGTAGCCATGCTTAGACTGCTTGAGGCCTTTTGCCGTGGGTGCCCTCTTCAGGCCTCCATGGGCACTGCCCCCATGTACTCGCTCCCAGGCACATCTGGATAGGCACGCTAGTAAAAAAAAACAAAACAAACCCCTAAAATTTAAAAAGAAAACCAGGAACAGAACACAGCATTATGCCTGCTTTCCCCTCCCTGCAACATCAGCTCCGCCCACACTTGGGAGCATGGCTAAGACTTTGTCCTCTTCTCTCCCTTCCTACTTTCCACGAGTCAGTTTTCTGTGTCTAATTAACTCAGCTCTCCCTCCCGCCCAGAGCTCCCTCTGCAACCCAGACTAACAAGCCAAGTGACAAGGAGAATTATATTGCACTTACATTTGTCCTTGTTTCTCTTATACCCTTGGAGCGAGGGCACCTGCTTATACGCAAGAGGCTCTGACCCAGGGCCCACGCAAGTATCAGGCCAGGGCATTTGGTGGCTTGAGGGTTGCCAGGGACCTGGTTCACCAAAAAGCCAAGCAGAACGTGGCAGCTCGTCTACTCCATGTGCATGGGGAGAGGCGCGGCCACCCCTTGATAAGGCTGTGTCCAGGTTAGTGGAGGAGAGAGATCATGTCTTCTCTCATCCGTGTATCACTGCAGTCATGTTGGAACCCTGAAGCTAGAGCCTGGTAAATTCGGGAGATATGTTTAACAGCAGGGCTTGATAATCAGTCTCCGCAAAGTGGACAACAAAAGTAAACAACCACTAAACACGCGCTTAAGATGCTATTCCGAAAAGAAATGTTTTCAGTTCCCGGCAAGTCTGTATTGCGTACCTACTGTGTGAACTCGTGCCTTCAATATTGCTGGGCCTGTGGTACCAACCTGGCTGGAAGAAAAAATAAAAAAAGTCAATAAAAAGGAAAAGGAAAGGAAACGCAACTGTTCCCAGTTATGGTGGAGGAGAAAGTTTATTATAGATACACGTGGGAGAGCAATAGCCAGAGGCAGGGGCAGCTGAGGGAGTCCAGAGTGATCATGATCCTGAGATAGCCCATGTGGAGAGCGGAGGGGGGTGAGAAGAGAACGGGGAACCAGATATAGCAGCTGGGAGGCCCAATGGTTCAAAAAGAGCAGGTAACAAAAATGATTGGATTATATAAGGAAGAGCAGCCCAGTGGGAGTGGGATCTGCCAGGCAGGAGGGCCAAGTAATGGTTAGAGGCTGGGCTATGCTGGGAGAGCCTGGTGGCCAGGCCCACCTGGATATGCTAACTAGGCATCTCGGCCATTTGTTCTCAGGTTTGAAACTAACAGTCACCGGGTCTGTACGTTGTTGTCTGTATGAGTTACTTTTCCTGTTTTTGTGAGAAAATGCACTAGCAGAGCAACTTAAGGGAGAAGTCGTTCTTCTGGCTCACAGTCCCAGGGTGCCGTCCCTTGTGATGGAGAAGCCCTGGGGGACAGAGGCTGACGTTACATACAGCCAATGAGCGAAGGGCGTTTCTCTCAGATAACCACACTTTCTGTCTCTGGCCTCTCCAAATTACCAAATGCCACACCACACTTCCCTCTCCTGGCTCCCATATTTATATTTCTCAGAGTCCTAGACCACGCCCCTCTCCATGCTGCACGAGGCAGGCCCTTACCAGCTGGCAAATGCCATGCCCCTCAGGAGATTATCAAATTATCAAATTATCAAATTATCTCTGGACAAACTAAAGCCCAAACTAAACCCCACACTTGGGATTAAGACAAAAATATATTTACATAACATAACTGAGTTTACAAAGAATCGGAAGCCTCCATTACAGGGATGTGCTCTTTGATGACTTTGATGACAGAGTTCTCATCAGTAGAGGCAGGCATCCTGCCTGAGCATTGGGAACGAAGTCATCTCTTCTACTGGCATCATCTCTGAAATTCTGAAGCTCAGAGTTCCCCACTCTGCCTGCAATGCAAGTCGGCGCCTGCCTGTCATTCTTTCTGAGCTTCTCTTATCTTATTAGCCTTTATTCAATTTTTAATGATGGATATTTTGTGTGTTTATTTATTCAAGGTCTGTTCTGCCAGCAGATTGCATAGCTCTAGAGGGCAAGGATTAAGAGTGTTTTATTGACCAAGCACAATGACTTGGCTTTAACTTTTTAATCTGTTAAATGAGGGACAGTAATACTGCTTTTGTCCACCTCACTGAGCTGTGAAATTAAAAGAGATAATACATGGGAAATGTCCTTGTAAGTCACGAAATGTGCTTCACATATTAGTTATGCTTAAGGCTGTGTCTGTTTGAGGGGACAGCACGGGCTGAGTACTCATGAGATAATAGTGAGAGAGATGAGATAATAGGAGAAAGCACTTGGAAATGGACACACGCTGTGACAGCATTTATGACATAAAGCTGAACCCAGCAGTTCCAACCTCTAAAAAGATTCTGTTCACTCAGTTCTCCCAGTCAGGACTGAAATAGTTAACTAGCAGAGAAAGCTGGAGAAGGCTGCCGGTGTGTGGCAGTAAGTAACATAGAGCTAGCGGAGTCTCTTTAGCCGAGGGAGGTTTTGCTACTTAATTCTTTCCTACTGAGAGGCAAGGACAGACAGACAATATGACATCCCTCTCTTTCCACAACGGTGAAAGTGCAGAGTGGAGAAAGGCATTGCCAGAAAAAAAAAAAAAAAAAAAAAAATGGCCGCTGCTGCCAGTTGTTCACAAAGAGCAAATGGGAGGAGCATGGATCTCAGCGCGTCCAATCGCTGCAGACACACACAACTCTACCCTTGAAACAGGGAGAGTCAGAGAGATGTAGTTGATGAGCCAGGGAGCCCCGTGGCCAGTTTGGAGCAGGGATCACTCACTGTGCCTGGGCATCCAAAAGCTCACATAAATGATCACTAAACCAGGACAATCCAAAGGGAAAGACAGGACTGGACCAAAAGCAGACATAGGTTCCTTCACTCAGCCCCTCTGGGGGTACTGTCCTAATTCTCAAGGAGGAAGATATAGCTATAGATAAAGCCCAGCAATAGCTAATTTTGATTGTCACCTTGACAGACTCCGGGATCGATTAAGAAATATGAGCTGGGCGGAGTGACACAAGCCGTTAGGCAGTGGCAGATGGGTCTCTGAGTTCCAGACCAGCCTGGTCTACAGGGCGAGTTCCAGGAGAGCCTGGACTACACAGAGAGACCCTGTCTCAAAAAAAAAAAAAAAAAAAAAAAAAAAGGACGTTTTTAGAAAGGATTAACTGAGGTGGAAAGATCCGCCTGGATACCTGAAGCACCATCCCATGCACTGGTGTCCTGGACCAGATAAAAAGGAGAAAGCAAAATGACTTCCTTCGTCTCTACTTCTGACTGTGGATGTAATGTGAACGATGGCCTCGTGCTCCTGTCGTGAGGTCCCTGCCTCAACGGACTGTACCACACACACAGGACGTGTGTGTGTGTGTGTGTGTGTGTGTGTGTGTGTGTGTGTGATGGTGGTGGGGGTATGTGTGTGAGGAGAAATGGTACAGATTCATAATAACTTATAGATGTTTTTAAAGATTATTTTAACGGACACATGCAAACATAAAATTGTACTCATTAACGGGTATCTTGTAAGTGTTTCATAAATTTTTTTAAAAAAAATCTCACTATTTCTATGAATGTGAATGTTTGGTCCTGGACTGGAAAAATCTGGGGTTAGTTCTTCTGTTGTCTTCCATGAAACTGCAACCGCAGAAAGGGGCCTAGTTTAGGCAAAGCACTATGGGAGCTAGGTTTACTCCTTCCGGGGTGAGATGCATGTTGGATGGCGTACAGGACGACCGGGGTGGAGTAGCGACGGCTCCGAGACAGCTGCTACCAGCTCGGGAAGGGCCTCTAGAACCTGTTGTTGGTAGGACAAGAGACTCAAGTGGCGCCTAAAGGGGAGAGACCAGACCGGCACCTGGCAGGGAAATCACAGAGAGAGACCAAGCGCAAGGACGGGAAGGTACCTAATGCCACCATCTCCTGCAAGACAAGCTCAGGTCTCGAGAACAGGGCGCAGCCCTCCCGCAGGGAAAAGCCTCCACTTCTTGGAGAGCCCCTGCAGGAAGGTGCCGGCCTCCCCTGACAAACTGTGCAGAGGGAAGGTGCTTCTAGAAGTCCAGGGAAAGGAGCAGGGCACTGGACCGGATCCTCAGGCTGGGAGCTGGAAGCCTGGGAGGTGGAGACGTGGATCCCTGAGCAGGAGACAGGGGAGCTTTGTGCCCCACACAAGGACGCGCCAGGGCTTCTCCAGCGCTCCATCCTCCCACGGGGCCGGCAGCATGCGCGGCCTTCTCTTCTGCCCTCTGCTCGTTACTGGACTGGCACAGGTAAGTCCTTGTTCCACGCTCCAGCTTTCAGCCGTACCTTTTCGGGACCAGAGTAAAACGGCAAGGTCGAGCTGGGGAAGAGCTATGGCTAACTGTTCAATGGGAAGTGGGGAGCCATTTTCCTTTCCAGAAAGTTTTGTTTTAGCTCAGGAGCTTCGTGAGAGATGCTGGAAATTTCTCCCTTGGAGGTGTATCCCCTGAAGCCTTCTTGCGACGTGAGAACACAGTCCACAAATGTTACCGTATATCTATTTGCACAGTTCAGCCCCAGCTGGCTGGCGCTGGCGGCCACAGCCATAAACAGGGTCCCTTCATGCCGTTACAGGCGCGGGCGGGTTCATCTTTCCACAGCTTGCAGTGTGCCAAGAGCCCCTGTTAAAACGGGTTTTGGCAATGCATTTTTTTTTTTTTCCCCAGCTGTCCTCTTTTGAAAGGAGTACTTAGGAAGGAACATTTAGTTTTTAAAACTATGCTATTACTGTCTTTTCTCAAGCCTGGGTTCTCATTTTTCGTGAGTGAATCTGCCTATGGAAGGGCAAAATATTTCAGAGGGCACACCAAAGGAAGTTTAATTTAATACGAGCAATTCATTGCCTTAGCGTTTTTGAATAAGAAGATTAAAGTGGGGTGGCTTGATGATTTATTTGCATGGTGAAGGTTATTCCTGGCATGGAGGACAGAGCTCCGACCTCTTCTGGTGACTTAGAAAACATGGAAGGGTGTGACACTGAGAGCCGAAGCTGGCCAGGGTAGCAGAGGTATTTCAGACAAGATGGGACATTGTTATACTGTTTAGGGGTCTAAGGTTTCAAAAGGATCCTAAGGAGGCTCTCAGTGATGGGGTTCTTCCTGCCGTCACAGCTGGGGTACATTTCTTCAATAGCCGTGCACCCAGCTCTCTTCTGTTCTACATTGTAAGGAGAAGCAATGGTTACTGTCAACGAGGGCCTGGACATATTCTTAAACAGCAAATATTCTAGCACATGAAGAGATGTACAGAATAGAAACTGCAAACACAAAAAGACACTGTACTTACAGCAGAAAATAGCATTTTGTCTTTAGTTTTCCCTTATTGATTTTTTTTTTGTCACTGTGATAAACCACCTGAAAAAAAAAATACAGAAGGAAGGGAAGGCTTTGGCTCAGTTTCAGAGGTTTTAGTCCATGGTTGTTGGCTGGCTCATTCCAGCCTCCGATAGCAGCAGAAGCATGTGATAGAGGAGACAATCTATCCACAAGCCGAGAGAAAAAAAATCAGAGGAAGAAACAGGAGACAAGAGGTGATGACATACCCCAATGATGCCCTTCAAGGTACCTCCTTCCGGTCGTTCATTCACCTGAGAATCCACAAATGTATGGCCCCGTGGATAAGGTCAGCATACTCATGGTACAGTCACTTCCCCAGAGACACCTTCTGAGCCGTGGGGGCCAGGCTGGTGTGTGTACCTATGACGTACATGTGTGTGTACCCATGCACAGGTGTCTGTGTGTCCATAGGACGATCAGAGTATGGCATTGTTGGGTGCCTACCTCCATAACTCTCCACCTGATTTTCCAGTCAGGGTTTCTCACTGAAACTGGAGCCTGTAGTTTCTCTTAGCCTGGCTGCTGGCGAGCCTGGAGGACCGATTCTTCTGTCTCTACCAGGCTTTCCTGGGGCACACTTTCAAACATAACCAAGGGTTTGATGACATCTCCCATAGATGGACGGTCCACCAGATGCCAAACACTATGCTGGGCGTTGAGTCCATGTCTTAATCACCGTGACTGTCAAAACAACTGCAGCAGGGTATACTAATCCCATCTCACAGAGAACCGACACTCAAAGACCGAGTAACAGGAAATTAAGATCGAAGATGTATCCCAAAGCTCGGCTCTGTTTTTAGAACATTCTCTTGCTTTATTCTTGTGGTCTCAAGGCTTTGCTTTTGAAACAAAATATCCGGAAAGAAAAATATGTGAAACTTTCTTTTTCTGTAAGTCCTACCCTTCACACTTTTGCAATACAATCTATTACAATTTCCTTGGTATTTTGTGCATGTGTGTGTGTGTGAGGGTAGTCTGCTAGCAAAAATAAACAAATAAATAAATAGATAGATAGATAGATAAATAAATATCTGTTTTTACCTGGAAATTTTAATTCCTTCCTTTAAAAAAATCTTTGTGACTATGTCACTTTGGGTGTGGTTTCATCTTCCACCTTGGTTGAGACAGTTCTGTTTACTGTTGCTTATGATAGGTCAGGTGACCCCTGAGCTTCTGGGGCCCCTCCTGTTCTCACCTCCCATCTGGCATGCTGGGGGTACAGATTCATACTCTGCATCATGTCTGGCTTTGAATAGGTCCTGAACTCCTGTCCTCATGTTTGCAGTAGGAGCTACCCACTGAGCTTCTCCTCAGCCCCGTTTGCTCTCATTAATGGTAGTTTCACTAGATACAGAATTCCAGGTTGACAGTTTGAATTATTACTTTTTCTTTTAGTACTTAAGACACCTTTAAACTTCCCTCTTGCTCCTGCAAATCATGTCTCTTCTACATGTTACGTTTCCTTCTTGTCAGGCTACTAGCATGACTTTCTCTTTTATTCACAGATTTTCTCTAGGGGTTACCCTTTAATTTCTGAGATGATTTAAAAATATTTAAAAAAAACCCAAAATATTTCAAGATTGGAAAAATAAACAAATAAGCAGTTTGGAGGGTGGATATTTCACTAGGGAGCGTATCAGTCACACTTTTGCATTGCTAAGGACAAAATGCCTGACGGAAACTATTTGGCTCCTGGTTTCATAGGGCTCTGCCCTTCATGGTGGGAAGAGCATGGTAGAGCAGTTCAGATCATGATGACCAGAGGCTGCTCACATTACAGTGGACCACGAAGCAGGAAGCAGGTGAGGATAAAGGGATAAATATGCCCATATTACCAATAGCATATTTTCTCCAGCTAGACTCCCCTCCTAAAATATTTCAGAACCTCTGAAAATAGCACCGCAAGCCAAGGACCAAGTTTTCAAAACAACTCATGGTTGGTATTTCCGATTCAAACTGTAACAGGGAGCAACAGGAGAAATGGGGGAGAGAATGTCTAGTGGCATCTTGTAAGCCTCAGGGTATAGGAGACGTGGAAAGGTAGGCGAGGCCAGGACAGACAGGGCTTGGAGCCTCACAGGTTTGCACTGTAAGCTACGCACAACGCAGACCACTGGGCATGCTTCAAGGGGTGATATAATCAGAGGCAACGGTGTTTAGTAACTGTGAAATGAGAAAAAGATCAAAGAACACGAGGACAATAAAAAAAAAAATCAGAACAAGGCGTGAGGGAGAGGAGCTTGAATGACTCCAGGTTCTCTGACTCCAAACTCTGTCTGGGTGAAAGACAAATTTTGAACCCCAGAGGACATTTGGGCATCAATACCCATCGGGCAGTAAGTGACGTGGGTCTATCAAGCAGTGAAGACGGCTCCGCTGGGGATTCAGTTTTGCAGGTGCATAGCGTAAGTGGTGAGGGAGACTTCAGGGCCGTAGTGTGTGGAAATGAACAACGCATCAGTGCAACAGGGCTCAGGTGTCTAAGGTCCAGTCCAGAATAGGCTGGGAGATCTGGTGCTCAGGTGAAATGAAACCAAGGGAAAGGATTTTATAGCAAAGCACAAAGGGACTCGTGCCCTGTGGGCATGGAGTGACGGGAACTGACTTCAGAAGTCACTGTGAACACTGGGTAAAGGAGACAGAACGGGAGGCTTTTCTAATCATGCAAGTGGAAACTAATAGCGGATTGGTCCACAGTGGCAGGAGAGAGGCTATGGAGGGAGGCCAGGGCTATATTCTAAAGGTGCGATCAACAAGTTTTATCAGTGAGACTGGGTGTTAAAATGTGAGCCCATGGTGAAGTGTTTTGGAAAAATACAAAATACATTTGCTCAAAAAGGGAAAAAAACGACTGGAGGAAAGTCCAGTTTGCTCCATCTAAGTGGAGCAGTTAAGCAGGCACTTTTGGTGAGTTTAGAAAAGTGAGCTGGTTGGGAAATAGAGGGAAGGGAGAGATCTTAAGTGAGAGGCTTCAATGCAGTCATCAGAAGGTTGAAAACAAAGCAACACTTGGGACCAAGGGGGCCAGCATGGAAGAGGAAAGGGGAAGGGTGACGCTTTGGAAACTGAGTGAAGTCAGGGAGTGGCCATGTCAAAGACTGAAATTGTAACTCATCAGACCATAGCCTACCTGGTGGGCATGTATCCCCTACAGACCTAAGAAGAGTCTCAGGATTTTCTAATGTCACCTTTCTCACCAATGAAGCTCTGCTGCAGGGCGCGGGGCACTGTGCCACCAGACACGACCCCTGGAGGAGAAGGGCCTGGAGAGGCACCGGAAGTGTATCACCGGAAACAGGTCTGTCACTGGCCCTGCAGATGCCCTCCTCAGAAGCCCAGTTGTCCTCCTGGGGTGAGCTTGGTGAGGGATGGCTGCGGATGCTGCAAAATCTGCGCCAAGCAACCAGGAGACACCTGCAACGAGGCCGACCTCTGTGACCCACACAAAGGGCTGTACTGCGACTACTCGGCAGACAAGCCTAGGTACGAGACGGGAGTGTGTGCACGTAAGTGTCCTCCGGGCCTGTTGGAAAAGGCTGACTCGAGACACATTTCTTCCCCTATAACCGCGAATTCTGAGTGGCGAGTTTAGTTTAGCTAAATACAAGATGGATTTAGATTTCCTGAGTTTGAGGACAGCCTGGTCCAGGTCAGCCAGGGCTACATCTTGAGACCCTGTTTAAAAAGAGAAAACTAGGGGGTCTGGGTCAAATTGTCTAATATTTGTGCTGTGTTTACATCATCTGCATTTCCTCTTTTAGGAATATGTGGCTGGGAAGATTTTTATAAAACTAAATGCTATGAACCCTAAAATTCCTAATGGAGTGTGATGGTTGATGCTGATTAGCAACTTGACAGGACCCAGAAGCACACTGGAGAGGAGGAGCCTCGGGCCATGCCAGTGAGGCATTATTTTGATTAGGTTGGCTGAGGTGGGAAGAAGCAACTCGCTCCCCTGCCCAAAACCCAACTAAAACCAAACTAAAAACCAAACCAATCAAGCAAGCAAACAACCACACAAAAATCCAGGCTGCATCAGCTGCACCATACCCTAGGCCTGAGACCTGGGCTGTTTGCAAAGGATGCCGTCAGAGCTTCATTTCCTTTCTCACACTGGATGCAACAACATAGCTTAGCTGACTGCCCCAAATTCTTGCCACCAGGGCCTCTCTGTCACTGTGGAGTTGTGCCCTCAAGCCAAGCCAAAATAAGCCCTTTTCCTTCCTTCTTCCTTCCATTGCTTTTATCACAGCAAGAGGGAAAATAACTAAGACACAGCATTTAATATGCAGTAGGGTCTCAGAAATGCTTGGTGTTTATGGGAATTCCACAGGTAACCCATCAGAATGGCATCCAGGATAACCCCTTTCTCAAACTGACCAGGCATTTCATTAACCTGACATTTGGTGCTCTTTCCCTGCTGAGCCAGGCCCAGGCCTGTCACTGGGAACTCAGGTGAGGAGAATGATGCAGGCCCCCGAAGAACAAACCCGAACTGTGTTGCGTTTTCCCACAAGTGGCTTCACATAAAACATGAGATTTTTAGCTGGGCGCATACCTGTAATCCCAGAGCTCAGGTGGCAGAGGCAGGCAGATTTCTATGAGTTGGAGGCCATTCTGGTTTAAAAAAACAAGTCCAGTACAGCCAAGGCTCCACAGAGAAACCCTGTCTCGAAAAAAAGCAAGCAAGCAAACAAACAAGAAAGAAAAATAAATGAGATCTTTTAACAGCAGATGGGGAGGGCTAACCAGGACCTCAAACTACTGGCCAGGATTATTGGTCAGGGATGAACCTACAGCTACAAGCTAGTGGGAATCATACATTTTCTTTAAAAAGACTATTACTGACAGCAGAGAAAATTTTAGCGAGAATGCCCTTTTAATGAAGTTAAAGAATGAAGTTTGATCACCTTCCCCTGATGGGGCAGCAGCCTTGCCAGGCCACAAAGGAAGACAGCCCTGATGAGACCTGATAGGCTAGGGTCAGAAGGAAGAGGAGGAGGAGGACCTCCCCCATCAGTAGACTTGGGGAGGGGCATGGGAGGAGTTGAAGGAGGGAGGATGTGATTGGGAGGGATGAGGGAGGGGGCTACAGCTGGGATACAAAGTGAATAAACTGTGATTTATAAAAATAACTAAATAAATGACGTTTTACGTAAACTTCTCTAATGTCTAGCTCAGTAGGTGAGTGGATCCTCACATCTGTTTCGCTTCCAAGCTGTCTGTTGTTCTGAGGAAAACTTGGCTCCACACAGATATGCAATTAGGAGAGGGTGGACCATGCTAACATGCTTCTCAGACACTTATGCACATCCTTCTGACTTAGTCATGGGTAGCAAGTGGCAGCTCTTTACAGATTAGCCGCCATCATGGGACCTGTGACTAAGTCGATGAACTTTAATTCTAACATAAAATACCCAAGCTCACTGGGCCATCTCACACGTAATTCTAGCACCAAAGAAGCTGAAGTAGGAGGACTGGGAGTTGGAGGCCAGCCGGGCGACATGGGAAGAAAGAGCCTATTTTCTAAAACATTTTTTTTCTTTTTATGTGTACGGCTGTTCAGCTTTCTTGTTTGTCTGCGCACTATAAGTGCATCTGGCCCCTTCTGGAGGTCAGAGAGGGCACTGGATTCTCTGAGACTACATTACAGGTGGACGTGAGTTGCCATGCTGGGAATGGAACCAAGAAAACCAAAACCAAATACAAAAGCCACTTGAGGTTGGTCCTTGACTCACATGTGGTTTTGTCACTCTCTGCGCTGGGTATTTGGAAAGTACCAGTTTCCTGTTGTGTAATTATTCAAACTATACCTCATTGTGTGTCTTAAACTATCACACTCAGAAAGTCAACACCTTTGTTAGCTAGAAAGATCCCAGTGGTGGAGATCAGTTTTCCAAAATTCCTTGAGTTGAAAGTGTGAGTTCCATCACTGGCAACAAACACTTTGAGTGTTTTATTTATTTTTCAGGAGGGATTGTTAGTGACAAGCTTCTGTCCATTTTCAAGAAAATCCCTCCACAGTACTCAAGTCTGAAGACCTGTGGTTTATCTGACAGCTATTTAAGAAAAGTTCCAACAGAAAACATGACTCCTTTGTCTTCTAACAGTAGTTTCTTTAAGATCTTTATTGTACTTTTGTGTACTGAATTCTATGTTTACTTTGTCATACAGAATATTAAACAGAATGGTAGGGTTTAGTAAAATTAGCATACTTTATTGTGCTACCAAGAACACTGTTAAGCTACCTTATTACTCGAAGTACAAGGGCATAAAAGGCAGAGTACAGCTCCTGCCTGGACTGTCCGAGTCATGCTAAGGCGTCAGATTCAGCCATAGCTAACTAATTCTGTCCCACTGATGTCACACATCAGGGAGAATGCCTATTACATCCCAGTGTCTTGAAGGATTTTGGATTTTCAGATTCTTTAAAAATACTCCAGCCATTCCTAAGGGGTTGGTGGAACACATTAAAACTGCTGATCTTGAGAGGGAGGGACAGTCCCTGGAGAAAGTCTTCTCCGAATTTCAGTTACCTCACAGAACGACATTTACACTATGGTCTCTCCAGACCTCCCATGGATACATTCTGGCCTGTATTTGTGTATCTGGGTAGACCTGTAGCACCAGGCGTCAACTATTTATTTATAACCATCTCACTGCCAAGCCTAGGATTTTTGTTGTTTTTTTGAGACAGGGTTTCTCTGTGTAGCCCTGGCTGTCCTGGAACTTGCTCTGAGGACCAGGACAGAGATCTGCAGACCTCCTGACTGCTGTGTGCCACCACAGAGCATCTTTGCATAGATGCTCTGTGAAGGCGATTCCAAAGGAGGCTTAAGGAATTAAGAACTACATTCACAAGAGACAGCCACAACTAGGGTGGGTCCAACTAACCAAGCTATATAATACAGTTTTGTTTCTTTTTTTTGACAATCTGGTTTTTTTTTTTTCTTCTCAGATCTTGTGGCTGTTGGATGTGAGTTCAACAAGGTCCATTATCAGAATGGCCAAGTATTTCAGCCCCACCCATTGTTCAGCTGCCTCTGTGTGAGTGGGGCAATTGGATGCACACCCCTCTTCATACCTAAGCTGGCTGGCAGCCGCTGTTCTGCAGCTAAAGGAGGAAGGAAGACTGATCCACGAAACTGTGGCCCGGGCCCACTGCAGCAGGGTCACTCAGCAAGCTACAAAGCAATGCCAGGTGCTCCTCAATAGAGATGTTTTCCAAGGATGGCTTCCCGTGGTTCTTTCCCCATCCCTTTGTGCACCATAGGCAGTAAGATTTCCCTGCTGCTACAGTGTAGCACTGCAGTGTCTGCATCAGGCAGGCATACTCCAAGTGTCTGAAAAGAAAACTTTATATTTTGGTTTTGAGAAGAAGGTATTCCGATAATTTTAAATAGTTAAAAAAAAATTTAAAATTTCCTAAATCAGAAAACTTCTAAAATCTTACACTTCTGCTTATTTCCACCCCCCTTTATAGGAAAACTGAAAAAATACTATTCATGTGTACCCTAAAAACCTTTCATTTGTAATCTACTGTGGCCAAGAAATTTAACCATCCAGTTCCTGCATTTTCAAGGTTTTTTATATGGTAGCAGAAGAAATGGAAAGTTGATTTAAACACATTTTCCGGTTGAAATTGTCATCTTCCAAGCTATGAACAGCTCCAGGCTCTCGAAAGCAGGCCTCCTGTGTGTGTGGTCAAGCACGTGGCTGCCACCCTGATTGCTTCTCCTGAGTCCCGAGCTGGCTGCAGGTGTAAATGACATTCTGGTTTGCTTTAACCTCTTACCTGCTGGAGAATCTTCCAGACAGGAATTCCTCTAGGCTCACCTTCATTGTGTTGTTAGCCAATAAAAATTATCAGAGAAATGAGCTTTGATATTTAAAAATATGGAAAAAATGTACAAATGCAAGATCACTGTTACACTCAAGGCAGCATGGTGCTGCCAGCTTTCATCAGGCAGCACGTTTCAAAGTGACTGATTTTTTTTTAACTTTCTTCAGCTTTAGGTTGATGTTCTGAATGTAGAACTGTGCTGTTAACTGTGGACACAATCACCACCTTACTCCCAAAGTATCAATTTTAGGATGTACAGTAACTCTAAGGAAATGCATTGAGATAACAAATCAACGTGCTGTTTACTTAATATGAACCAAGGCTCTGATTCACTGGAGTACAGTAACAGGCTCCTAGTGGTTTTTCATGGAAAACCATGGAGATGGAAGAATTACTATCTTTATTCTTTCCGGTTTCTTCTAAACAGCAGGCAGTGGCAGGGTTCTAGAGTAGTGGTGCACAGCTCCCCTAAGTACTTCAGGGGTGATTTTAAGCGACTAGCTTATAGAGAATACTGTGGCCTGACAACAGGGAATGTGACAAGCTAGATGGAATAGAAAATCGCAACGATTAGTATATCAAACTAGTTTAGTGCAATAGTATTAATTCAGTTTGTTACAGGTTTTTGTTGTTGTTTTTGGTTGGTTGGTTTTTCCAGACAGGGTTTCTCTGTGTAGCTCTGGCTGTCCTGGAACTCACTTTGTAGAGCAGGCTGGCCTTGAGCTCAGAGATGTGCCTGCATCTGCCTCCTGAGCGCTGGGATTAAAGGCGTGCGCCACCAGGGCCCAGCTTGTCAGTTTTCCAAGACGGGCCAGTGTGAGGTGTGCTGTGCAAGCCTGGTGTGCGGAATTTAAGCTCCACATGGAGGGGGAAGGAGCGTTGTCCTCCGTAACCACACTGAAGCCTCTGTGCCTCACTTGACGAAAATTTTCTGACTAGATTTTAAAGAGTGGAAGAGAACAGATTTTATCATCACATTTTTAAATAGGATTTTTAGATTTTTACATATCATAAAATTGAAATACTAAAATCGTACTGTTACATCAGGCATGGTGATACATGCCTGTATTCCTAATGCTTGGAAGGCAGAAGGGTTGGGAGTTAGAGGGCAGTCAGCTACACAGCAAAACCAGGTCTCTAGGAAAAAACCCGCGCTATTGGACTAATGTCCTGAATTCCCTAATCCTGCCAATGTTTATTTTGGTGTCCTCTGGAAATACCAGGCATGAGGCAAAACCAACAAAACACAGACATCGGAACATGAGTTTAAATCTGATACTCAGAGGACTGGCAAGGCCAAAAGATGCAAACAGGTAAAAATAGTCTTGACTCCTCTGGGAAACTACATGGCCACACTCGCCTGAAAGGCAATTTAGGTAGTGAGAAAGGAATGAGGGCAGGAGTGTTAAGCTTTTATTCTTTCCAGCAAGCAGCCTTGGACCGTAATGGTTACGTCCAGATAAGTACGCATATGCATACATAAGCACTTCCCCCATTTATTGTAGCTTACAGGAATCTCCCACTTACTTGGAAAAAAAAATGTCTCGTGCAAGCAACAAAGTGGACTCCTTGCTCCCGAACGTGCGGAATGGGAATCTCAAACAGGGTAACCAACGAAAACAGCAACTGTGAAATGAGGAAAGAGAAGAGGCTATGCTATATTCAGCCCTGTGACAGTCACTTATCAGAGGCAGTGAAGGTAAGGTAACCAGATTTAACTGAATTATGACTCAGTGTTGACAAGTTCCTGCAAAGTAAGACATTCTGGAGGGAGGGGTAGTATTTGGATCTCATCAAACAAAACGACCTGTGACTTTTTAAGTCAAAGTAACTCAGAGGACAACAGGTAGTAATTTAGCTCTACTCTGCAGGGAAAATTGTACCTAACATTAACCTGTTGATTGTAGGTGTCCTGTCAGTTTAATGGTTTGGGTCTTGAGCAGCCCTGTCTAACTGGGCTTCTGTTTTTTTGATCATATTACTTATAGCAGTGGAACCAAAGTAGTGAACATAAAATTCCAGTTACACCACAGCCTATAGAAACAGATCTGATCATAGTTATATGACTGGTTGTCTCAGAGGACACAGCACATCAAAATGCTGTTTCACAGTAAACTTGCCAAAGGACCATGTTATCCTAAAACCAGCATAAAAATGTAGAGCTGCTCCCATATATTAATTGGGGCAAGAGAATTACCTTTTTCTTTTCTATATAGCCCCACGAGAACTGGAGGGAACTCAAGAGATCCACCTGTCTCTGCCTCCAGACTGCTTGCAACACCATGCCGGGTGCTGCAAGAGAATTATCTTCAAGGATTGCTGTTTTTTACTCGTGTGTATGCACTACGCACACACAGAAAATGTTTCTAGAAATGATGTAAACTGTTAGTTTCAAGGTAGTCCCTATCCTATTATAAAATTGACAACCCAACTTTAAATGGATTAAGATTCATGGGGCTGGAGAGACAGCTCAGCAGTTAAGAACACTGGCTGTTCTTTCAAAAGGACCCATGTTAGATTCTCAGCACCCACACACAGGCTCAGAGCCATCTGTAACTCCAATTCCAGGGTATCTGGTGCCTTTTTCTGTTCTCTGTAAGCCCCAGGCACACAAGTGGTACATAGCCATACATGCAGGTAAAACACTCATACATATAAAATAGAAATAAATCTTAAAAATTAAACAAAAGATATTCATTCATTTATCTAACACCCATCTCAAACTGTATGACATGTACTAGGGAATCTGTTAGGTCTTAGGTAGATAAACATTTAATAAGACATAGTTCTTGAAAATGTAACAAAACAAAGTTTCCATTTATTGTGGAACTGAACAAAAGATGGAACAACAAATACCAGAGAATTTGATAGTGAGATGGAACAAGAGCAGGAAGGTGAAGGCATTTTACAGAGAGGCTCCTAGATGTCACAAACAGCAGCTATGTGCCCAAGAAATAACTGTTATAAAATCTGTCATAAGGTACTCTAATTCTTAAATCATTGTAATCAAGTTTAAAGAATGACCTTTAACTTTATGCATCTTTTCAGATTCCCAGAGGAGAAACATGTCAACCTACCTTCCAGCTCTCCAAAGCTGAAAAATTTGTTTTTTCTGGATGCTCAAGTACTCAGAGTTACAGACCCACTTTCTGTGGAGTATGCCTGGATAAGAGATGCTGTGTCCCCAACAAGTCTAAAATGATTACTGTTCAGTTCGACTGCCCCAGTGAAGGATCATTTAAGTGGCAGATGCTTTGGGTAACATCTTGTGTGTGTCAGAGAGGCTGCAGAGAACCAGGAGATATATTTTCTGAGCTCAGGATTCTGTAGACCAAACAGGGAGGAATGTTTAAGGGTCAATCATGTCATTAATATAATTAATTACATGTAATTAATATAATCAAAGAACTGAAGTGGCTATAAAATGGTAAAAAGTTTACTTAATGGATTTAAAACAAAAAGAATGACTTTTTTTGGTTGATGTATTTGGGACATTAGAAGTTCTAAAAAATATTCTAATAAAAAAACAAAATGAATGCTTGAAAAATTTTAAATAGAACTCATTTCTTGAGTATATCTTATAATTATATAATATACAGATACATGGAAAAGGATTTCATATATAATGGAAAAACTACAATTTATAAGAAAGAATTTTACAAAGATAAAAAAAGACACAATTTAAAATTTTATTCTGCACTTGGTAATTAAATGGCAATAGTCTATCAGATCCTTTCACATGATAGTTACTAGGGAGACAGCAAGATTTATAGAAATGAGTAAGATACTACTATAAATGCATCTATAATCGTCATTGCCCTGTTTTGAATATCAGTTAAGATCTTCTAGGAAGGAGAAAATGGACTGTCTGTGACTACTGTTAATAACTGTATTATTGCAGTTTTTATACCAAATAATATAAAAACCAAAAATAGAACACTTACTTAGCAAAGGAAGGAAACATAATAAATGAAGCATACAATATATTATTTTTGCTTGAAAAAAGTTTTCCCCTAAAATTATTCATTATTTCCTTGAAAGATAAACCAACCAATGGATCTGAAACATAAATTTTGACTAAAAACAACATTAAAGATTCAAAAGAGAGAGATACGATGACTGGAGGAATTTCAGTAGATAATAACCATTTACTACAAAGTTCAGAAGACATCAAACTTAGCAATGTTCTTTCAGTATGCACATGGGACATGATACACAATGATAATCAGTGGCTCTGTTTAAACTATTTATTATGAAAATGACTGGATGTCTAAGTTGTGATTCTTGAATATAAATACACATTACTCAAAGAACAAAACAAAGTCTTAAGAGTTTTAATAAAAACTACCCCGAAAAGTCCAGACATTACATAGATTGTGTTCTTCCATTCCTAGAACCTACTTTTCCAGCATTCAGAGTATGAAAAATGAAGTATAAATATAAAAAAAGCTATGTACAGTCTCTCGGAGACATCATCACTAAAGAGGCCTGCAGATGCCATGAATAAAGCACTCTATATCGTCTCTCGCTGCACAGCCCAGCCTGGCCCTGAACACAGTCCTCCTGCATGTCAGCTGCCCTGGGGTTACACGTGCACCACCATGTTGTGCTCTCTTATCTTAATTTGACAAATTGCTAGATGTGATACCACACACTAGTATTAGAAAAAAGTGTAATAAACAGAAACCACCATTTTAGACAAATACTTCTGATACCATGAAAAATAAACTGGGCTTTCTGAATTACAGAAAAGGCTGAAACAGAAAGGGGACAAAACCCAATGTGAATCAGAAAAAAAGTAGCAAGTGCATCCTGTAGCTTCTTCCTCACAAGGCCACGCTCAGCCTGGGCACGTCAGGCAGAGGCAGGCTCTTTGCTGCATCGAGGTCACTGTACTCCTGTATGAGTGCCGACAGAGAGGACATGGCTTCTGCAAACATGCTCTCCTCCATCCCGTCAACTTGCAGATAGTGGTGGAGGTGAGCCTGTAATTGGAAAGGATCACCATCTCAGAAACTTAAGATACATAACTATCCCATATAGCAAATACTATTAAAATTATAGGTCATTTCCTCATCCCTCTTTGGAGCTACGAGCAGTTAATGGTGCTGGGGAAGGGAGAGATAGGCCTCAGTGGCAGACCCATTTGTAAGTAGCCTTGCTTAAGCCAACAACCCCCAACATGCTCATCTAAGGAACCTCAATTACAGTGGGGTACACACACACAAAGGCCTGACAGAGTAGGAGGAGGGCTCTTTGAGAAGCAGAAGGGGCTCAGGAGGGGAATAAGAAGATGATGGGGAAATATGATCAAAGTAAGTTCTATGTATGTAGGAAATAGCCAAAGTTAAAACAACAACAACAACAAAAAACAAAACAAAAAGAAAACATAGGTCACATAGCTTTAAAACAGAAGCAGGAACTTAAATAAGTGTTGTACCTAAAGATGTGTCCATAAGTATAAGAGTGGCATGACTGATCTGGGGTAAACAACTGATTTCTGATTGGATTTGAGGTTCCCTCCACAGGAGCTTGGCTGTCACCCAGGCCAAAAGCTCATGACTCAGGGGGTCATAGGATATAAGGGACAATCTTTTACCACTGTTTTGCTAAATGGATATGTTGTAAAACTGTCTACTTATATTTATATCCATAGAATAGTGCTACTCACAATGTTGGTTACAAAAGCTTGCTTTATTTGTTTGTTTGTTCATATATTCCAGTGGACAGTACAGAGACTCATAACTGGTCAAAATGTGGAGAATAAGTAACCATTGAGACACCTATAGAATCTCTTCCCCTGACAACCCCTGCCTCACCAAGGCTCAGGGAATACTGCAGAAGATAGTACAGAAAGAATATAAGAGCCAGAATACGAGAGTGATGTGAGCTTGTGTTGCAGACATGGCAAGGCTGTTGCACTCATGCATTTAGAGTAGCTGTGGTTACCTGCACAAGATTAAGATAGTCAACAGTGTAACATGTAATTAGGGGTGGGGCTCATGAGGTCCCACCCTAATGCAGAGCTACTGTAATTAATGTTCGCTAGGGGAAGGAGGAGTCATTCTTGCCCAGTGATGCAGCCACTGGTTAAGTTGCCCATGCTTCAGTAAAACTCCACACCATGCTCACGCAGGCAACCCCAATCAAACTCAGGGTAACAATAGTAAAAAGAAATGAAGGTAGAAGGACTTGTCGGGAAAAGAGGTCCAAAGGGAGTGGGAGGATGAGGGCAATGTGATGTGAATATAATCAAAATACATTACATACACGGGTGAAAATGTTGAAAAGTATGTGATTTTTAAAAACAAAATTAGTATATAGCCTAAATTCTATGATTCCATGGAGTTTCTCATTTAGATTTAAAAAGCACAGGTAAAGTTCTCTTTTGTTACAACTACTATAAAAACTACACTGGACAACTTTATTTCCGATGGTGTGGTACATCTTAACCACAGTAAGTGCCGTGACAAAGGTGTGTAATTACCTTTTTCTTGTAGAGCCTCACGAACCTTTCCCTTAGCTCCATGAAGGTAGGCTTCACACACGTGTTATTTGCTAAAGCTAACAGTGAATGGGAGTGACCCACAGGCGGGACTGAGCACAGGCTAGTCTTCCAGCCTTCTTGATTCCAGGAGACAAACTGCAGAGCAGGTTTTAACCTGAGATACAAAAACCCAAAGGTAAGAACGAAGGGACTAAAAATGCTACATTGCAGCAGCTCGGTCCACATAAGCTAAACTGGGCAGCAGCTGAAGCATCACTTGCTCCAACTGTGCCCTCTGGAATCGCCATGTGTTTTTAGAACTGGCAGTGTCAGGTGATGGTGTAGGCACCTCGTATTTCATTTCGCATTTACAAACCAAGGCTTTGTACTTAAAGAATAGAGCCACTTACCTAAGGTCACATTTTACTCAACTATGTACTACACTGTCCCAAGCTGTGCACATAAATTACCATAAAAAGAAAAACCAAACCTTTCAATATTTCTGCGAAGATCTGAAATCTGCACATCTCCTCTAACGATGAGGGCACAGGCGAGGTAGAGACTATGTCTGGGGTCTGCTTGAATAAGCTGGTAATCTTTACTAAAGGCATCGGAAAACATCTGATCCAATCTACAAGGAAAGCACCGCTGTTTACAGAAAATGTATCTTTCTTCTAAATGCAGATGAAAATACACATTGGCATGGCAGCCTTGGGTACAGAAGATGCAGAAAAGCAAAGAAACCCTCAACAATGGAAAAGGACACGCTAGTCTAACATTTTAAAAGTTCCTTCTGGATTTTTACTAACACACTTTAAGAAAAACAGCCAACACAAACTGTCATGATTAAAATTAGAAATGTTGACATAGTATTATTTTTATCTAACTATGCCTAGCAGATTACAGAACACTTCACTAACTGTGAAATACTCAAGGTAGAGTATCAAGCCAAACATGTACTTTTTGATTATGTTGAACTTAGAAAGAAGGATTGACTTTAGTGTAAAAATTCCATCACACAACAGCTTACTACTGCAGGGCAGTGGGGGTGCACTCTTGTAACCCCAGCACTCGGGAGGCAGAGGCAGGAAGAGCTCTTGAGTTTGAAGCCAGCCTGCTCTACAAAGCAAGTTCCAGGGCAGCCAGGACCTCACAGAGAAAAAGAAAAAGAAAAAAAATGACGACCAATTTCCAATGGGAATGCCCACATGGAAAGTGCCAGTTTCTCTTCAACATGCTGAGCTCCGGTGATAGCGAACAGTCGGTGGCCATGATCCACATGCTCACTACACACTGCTTCTCTCGCTGAGATTGCTGGAGGACCCTTGGCTGATAAGGAGCCCTAGCCACTGCCTGGCACAACTGGCCATTTGCTAGTCTCTTAAATAAAGTTTATTAATATCACTTGTAACATTCCTCAAGTATAGAACTGTTACCTTGCCAAAATTTCAACTATAATTTTTTTTTTTTTTTTTTTTTTTTTTTTGAGGGCTGGAGAGAAGGTTCAGTGGTTAGGAGCATGTATTGTTCCTGCAGAGAGGACATGAGTTCAATTCCCAGCAACCACATATACGGCATTTTATAACACACCTCCAGATGGAGCTGCTGCTTCTGGCCTCTGCAGGCACCTGTACTTAGTCTCACATACATAGCCACATCACACATATTTAAATAAGGAAATTTAAAACAAACAAACAAACAAAAACCTTTGGGCCCACAAGATGGCTCAGCAGGTTAAGGTGCTTGCTTTAAGCCTGACAACCTGGGTTCAATTCCTGGGATCCACATGATGGAGAGAATTCAATCCCACAAGTTGTGCTCTGCCCTTCAAACACACCATAGCACACACAAAATAAAAAAAAAAAAAAAAAATAAAATAAATGTAAAAAAGGCAACACTAGAAAAGTCTTTTAATTTCTTCGTCATTTACACAGTCTCCCACTAGAGTTTGGCAGAACCTCTCTGTCAACAGTGAACACCAGTGTGAGCTTTTAAAACCTCATAATCAACATGTAGGCCCAAGGAATCTTCTTTAAAAAGATTTTTTATTTTTGATGTGTTTGTCTGTGCACAACCGCGTGCATGCCTGGTGACCCTGGAGGCCAGGAGAGGGCATCAGAACCCCCTAGAACTAGGGCTACAGATTGCTGTGAGGCATCATGTGGGTTCTGGGGGTTCCCAGTCTTCATGAGTGCAAGGCCAACACTCTACCACCTGAGGGACACCCCCCAGACAGGTTTGTGTTTTTGAGACATCCTCACTGTGTATCCCAGGCTGGCCTGGGATCTGTGAATACCCTTCCTCTGGTCCCCACATGCTCACAGTGCAGCTGCACACCACTGTGCCCAGCCTAAGAACGTTTTTTCCTGTCCTCTTTCTTTTTTTAGACAGATCTCACCATGTCACCATGTCGACCTGGCTGTTCACTTGCTATGTAGACCAGGCTGACCTCTAACTCATAGAGATATGTCTCCTGAGGTCTGGGATTGAAGGAGTTAGTTTCCATGCCGGATCCTAAGAGCATCCTCAAGGTGAACTGGAAATGATATAGCTATCATATAAAAGCCTTCTATGGTGCTCAGCTGTGGTAAAAACTTAAACATATACCACTTCATCTACCCCACAAACAGATGAAGAATTTAAGACATCTGCCCAAGATCCTATAGCTAGGGACAGAGTCAGGATTCAAGTCTGCTAGATTTTATTAATCTTCAAAAGTCTAAAAATTTAGATACCAGGTTTAATTTCAGTTTAATACTGACATTTTAAAACAATTTACTTCTAAATAAATATCTGACTAATGAAAAATTCCAGCAACTATACTTTATGATACTTTCACTAAAATTAGCACTTCAAGTTCTCAGGAAAATGAAGCCCAGTCCTACCTTACCTTCGAGGGGGAATGTTAACATCTGCCAGTGTGTACAGAGGTGTTAGGCTTGACACAAGATAATGAAGTTGAGGGAAAGGAACCAAGTTCATGCTGATCTCATTCAGGTCCATATTAAGGGATCCCTCAAATCTTGCAGAGCTAAAAGGTCAATGTTAGAATAATGAGAAACATTTTCATTTAAAAATAGTGACTCAGCAGGTTACTTTCGCAGATCCTTAGTTACACTGATCAGATCCTTGTTTCTGGGTCACTGAAATTTACTATCATGAACAGTCATTGTATAAGGCTAATTAGAAACTAGCATAATGCCTAGAAATTCTTATTCTAGATTTATAAGTGCAAGCAACACCTATTCTACTTGCTCATTATACATGTAAAACTATCCTATTTTTATAGGATTGTATAGATTTATAGATTTTATATATATAAAATTTTATATATATACAATTTATAGATTTTATAACAGATTTTATATTGAGTTAAATATATACAGGTCAATTATTTATTATGGAAATTTTGTTAAATATATTAAGGGTCTGCTTAACGTATTCATAATCATAATTTTAATTGCTTGAGAAATTGATGTGGATCAAATGACAAAGATGTATAGATTAGCTCGATTATCACAGTGGCAGCTTGTCTACCATGAGACTGCTTCTCAGTGGTGGACAATGGGAAGACTGCTTCCCACTAATGTTCCAACTAACATTTGGAGAAACACTGGCTTAACACTCTAAAACAAAAATGATTTGGGCAGCACAAATTCGCCTCGATGGGGAAAAGCCAGATGAAGTGTTTGGTGGGAAGAGGGGTTAAGAGGGTGAGCATGACCAAGTTATTTTGTAAGAAATTCTCAAAGGACTAATAAAAAGTCTGAAGAAAAACAAAGAATAAAGAAAGCTCGTACATCTCAGAACATCTAAAGGAATACTCCTAGGTTGGCCTATAGGTCTGTGGTTCAAGAGCTGGATTTAACAGTGTCACAAAATCAGTAAAGGAATAAACCACCATAAGTGTGAAGATCACAGTGAGTCTGCAAGCGTCCTGAGAGGGCTACCTTGTCAGGCTGAGGAGCAGGTTTGCCACAATGTTGTTCATGGCGTCAAAGGGCTTCTTGTGGCGCTTTTTAACAGCCCCCACATTCGAGGTAACGAGACTCTTAGGCTTCACAGCTGTACCCAACTTTCCAGAACTGACCACAAGATCAATTTTGCTAATGATGTCAAATAAAGACTTGAGAAAAAAATACTGGGTGAGAAACTATTAATGAGTGACTTAGACAATATTTTACTAGGCAAGAAAAGAAAAACAAAATTTATTTTTTTCTCTTAGATGGAAGATAAAAATTGGAGAGAATAATGAACAAACACAAGGCAAATAACACAAAATTAAATGTATATAAAATACGTCCGTGAAATCCAGGACTGTTTCTTACTTGGTTGTCAATGGGCAGCACACAGTCTGCATGCTCATTGAGCTCCTTCATGGCCAACATGCTGTTATAAGGAGAGGTGATAACGTCGTCCTCGCTGGAAGGATAAACTGCTGTCACAAACCTGTACACTTCTGGGAATTCATCTTCAAGTACCTTTAACAGAAACGTGCCAAGTCCAGACCCTGTTCCTAAGAATTAATATTTCAAGAAGAAAACAATCCAAATGGTTAGAAGTATAACTCTGAAAAGCCTAGAATATTTATTTGTTGGCATAATTTTCAACTGGGAGACAGCATAAGTAAGGCTGCCATGGTTCAAGTCCAGAGTTTCATCTCGGGCTCTGAGCTCGAGTCTGGGATGGCTTTCTCTAAGTTTTTGTTTTTAAATTATTAGACACCAAAACAACTCAATATAAAAAGTTCTAGTAAGAGAGCATCCAGTATTCGTAATAGTAAACAACTTAAAAAACAAAACAATAATGTATTTGACAGCTTTGGTCTCAAGATATATACCATCTCACAATATAGAAAACTATCACGTCATCAAACAACTTCCAACACGTAATAAAATATGTTCACCTTGAAATTACAAATGTTATCATTATTTAAAAGCAGAAACTATAGAAATCCCATTAGTAACTTTACGTATGTATGTATTTATTATTTTTTTGTGGTTAAAATGTAAAACCAAGGTTCCAAGGTACGGGCTATGGGCCACATACAGCCAACACAAACCCAGAAATCTAAGACATGAAACTATTTTTATTATTTTCTTTCTTTCTTTCTTTCTTTCTTTCTTTCTTTCTTTCTTTCTTTCTTTCTTTCTTTCTTTCTTTCTTTCTTTCTTTCTTTCT